GCTTAAACCGAGAGTATTATAGATATTACAATAGCAATACAGTTGTGTATAATAGGATGCATTGTTTGCCTGTCTTTTAGTTTTCACTTTCAGCACATTGTGTCAGCTATTCATTCAAAACAGTCCTTCAATTTGATTGTGAAATGTGTTGAATAGAAATTTGTTTGAATTAACTCTTATTTAAACAAAATAGGCGTTCAATACAATGGCAACGCTTTTACGGATACTTAAGAATATATAATAATATTTTAAACTTTTTTAAATACTTTTCTTGCCATTCCCTTTCAATGATTTATGTTATTTCTAGTGATATATAATCTTATCTATTTATTTGATTGATTTAATAGATTTAAAAATTTTTTTATAAAAATTAACAAGTAGTAGAAATGCATTTTACAAATTCCAAATTCGTGAATATTTAATTTTTAAATGCATTTCTTTGAGAATATAATTATAAATAGTGTAATGCAAAATAATTGATTAGCAAAATCAATATATAATTTGATACGTTTGATACATCCCAAAATGTAGTAATGGGTGAAATGTTGTAAAAAACGATCGATTAATGACATGAAAATGAATTATATTTTCGGTTTCAAAACACAAAACAGTGTTTTTCGTGATAATAACGATGAGAAGACAATAAAATGAGTGAATGAGTGACTTTGTTATCTGATATGTTAATTATAGACTCACATCAGACACACATATAGCCAAACATTGCACACGAAAACAACCAAATCTTATGTTAACAGAATGTCATTGAAGTTGCAATCATTTACTTAATTTTGTGATCAAAATATTTTTGGCACAAAATATAGAGTAAATACCAAAATTAATACCAGATTAATGTAACGATTTAATTATAAATAATATATATTAATATCTCAAATATTTAATCATAAAATTGTGATATCATATCATTTAATAAAATTTTCTAATATGATTATTTAAATAATTAAATATGAATTTTTGTGTTATCAACTGATTAGCTTATATGAATCAGTTTATTTTAATAGGATTTAAAATATTTTGTAATATGAATTTTACTAATATTAAAATACAAAATATTGTATAATATTCTTTATATATAATATTGATTATTTTAAATTACGGTAAAACTAATAATATCCAGAATGATCTTTATTTATTAAAATTTCACTTAGTTTTTGCATTGAATATAAGATTCAATTCTGTGCTGAAAGTGTCAGACAAGTATTTTATACACTGTTATATTATCTTATAGTCAATACATATCAATATTAATTGGAGCATAAATTTTCTGTTCATGAATACTGACTGAAATGAGGAATCAAAATGAAATATTGATTCAACTTTATAATTTACTCACAACTCAATACACTTATGTAAGAGAAAATATAAAATGTATAAGATGTCAAGTAACTTAACATTCGTTATACAATTTCATACAATGTACAATGTTCAATACTTATTGTAATTACAAATGCATGTGAACAATACATTTGTTACAATTTAGTATTTAGTAGATTTGAGCCAATTTTTAACTATCAAATGAAAAATGAATGCAAACTCTCGCAGGAATATCGCAAACAGTTATAATTAGTCAATGCATTCGTTTTGCATAATTTATAACAAACTTTACTTTCTTTTTCAAAACAATTAAAATTCTAATTAATTTGTTTTCAATTTAATGAAAATTATTTAATTAATCGAAATACTGTAATGAATCTGCAAAACTTGATACTTTGTAAGGATTTTTGCCAATCTATTAATCTTATTATCTCTAAAAGTAGTCATTATTTTCTGCGAAATATGCAAAGAATTTAAAGCCTAAAGAAGTGCATCAAACCACAAGTGTTTTCAATAATGATTTATTGCCTAAATTAGAAAATTTTATAAATTTATTTGTTTCCACAATCGATCCAGCTAGGATTAATTCATCAAATATACAAATTACTTATTATTTAACATACTGTATATATGATTAAAATTAAAAATACATACAATATGCGGTAATTAAAATGAGATTTTAAAATAAATTTCATATACAATTATACAAATGATTATATATGTTTACTTTATTTACGTAAATTTTGGTTAGTATAATTAGTTATAATAATTACATTTGTGTTATTACTTATTACGGTGATGTAGAATTAAGTTTTAATTGGGATTTTAATTAAAATATAGTATGATCAATAGGGTATAAATTATAATTTATTTTTAATGTTCGTAAGAAATGTTTAAAAAATAAAAATAATTAATTACTTTTTGAGAGTTTCAATTCCCCGGCATTTATTGTCGTTCATTAAAGTCATTGAAAGTTAATTTGGAAATAAATTGCATTTTATTCTTATTCCGAGTTTTCTTTGGTTTCGCTATAATTGATGACAACTCTACTCACAAACCCATCGCAATATGACTATCATTACTGGCATTGTATGCATTAGACATCAGACAAAAAGATTTTTATTAAAACTCTCATTTATTATTTGTATGTTCACTCAAAATATGATATAAACTTCACTATCGATTCATTCATATTCCTATTAACATGGATTTCAATCTAAAAAGCTCTCTCTCTCTCTCTCTCTCTCCCCTCTAATTCACATTCCCGTCGACATTATAATTATTATCTGCTATTATACCGTATTTAATATATAATATACGATATAATAAGTCAATACTTAATGTTTTAAAAAGCAAAAGTTTGAGATAAAACTCTAAAATTTATCAAATTATGAAATTTCTTGTTGTTGTATAACAATAGCTTTTATGAAAAGAAATATAATTTTATTATTAACTCAATAAAAGGCAACGGAGTGTTCATCTGTTGGCACATAAGACTCGGATTGAAAAATAAGTTTTTATTGGCGTTTAATTAAATCATTTCTGTTTATATAAGCATTTCATGATTCTCTCAATTATTCTAATGATTATGAGAAATGAGTTTTTCAGGACATAAACTATATGTTAAAAATATACTGTAAAGAGAGAGAGAGAGAGAGAGAGAGAGAGAGAGAGAGACTAATAATAAATATAATAATTTATATGTATTTTTCTATTCCGAAGAGATTTGATTTCTTGTAGTCATTCATATGATTATTCGGCAAAAGTAGTGAAAGTACTGCCAATACATATAACTCGGAGCGAATAAATCATGCGATATAATAGTGAAACACTATTATAATCTTAAGTTTGGATGCATTAGCCCAACAATGCCAGTGCCTGTAATGAGTGTACGAGTATGAGAGAGAGAGAGAGAGAGAGAGAGAGAGAGAGAGGGAGAGAGAGAGGATAATGAGCAGAAAACATGGATGAAATGATGCCGCAGACCATATACTGAGCCATATTCTGCTGTACAGTATGTTTATTATAGCGAAGCCCTAACTCATAGCTATACTACACGTTCCCAATGGATGTGAAGCCAAGCGCTCATCTATTAACTCAATTCAGTAATGTATTCATTCCTCTAAAAACACAATAGTATTGCTTTCAATGGTCTCAATGTTTCCAATATTTTTCAAAAATACTGTATCTCTCGGCTCTCCCACTGAGAGCATCACATGTTGTAAATCAAAATATTTATGAATTCCGGAAAAATATTATACTATTCTTTAGAATGGAGTATAATAGCAGAGGTGCCCAATGGAGTGCCTATTAAGTGGCCTACAAATGAGTTATTAAAATATCTCACGTTTGGGGGAAGATTTTTCTTTAACACTTTGATGCAAAGTTTTGCAAAACTATTAGAATAAGAGACTTTTCAATCAATTGTTAAATTGTAAGGGAATATACCGTTCCCTTCTCATCATTTTGATGAAAAACTCAAAAAATTTTATATAAACTCATTATATCTGTTGAGTTGCGAAGAGTCTCTGCAAACGTCTGTACATTACGAGACATAAAGTAATTTTGATTACTATAAAACTCATATTTTTGTGCAAATCAAAATAATTCATGTGAAATGTATTCACAAAATTTATTATCAGTTCTCATATTTAAATATAACTGACTTTTTTGCTTCACTAAGTTTTCCATTTTGATTAAACATACATTTTTAGTGAATAACATCGAAATGCATTAAATAGTTGTGTGCGAAAGCTTAAGCTAAATGTCAGTGTCTTTTTTGATAATACCTTTGTTGGGTAGGGCTCTACTCATGAGTCTCGAGTTGATGAGCACATACACACACACTGTCTCTCCTTATCTGTAATGTCTGTGCCTTTTCTCTGGCGATGCCTTTAACACCGAATTGGAGCGCAAGAAGACCTGAAAATAACCTTTTCTTCTGTTATCACAGGTTTTTGTTTGGCTTAAGCTATCAGTTAGGCTTCGCTTCTGCCATAACTCTAGAGGTAGTCTTAAGCGAAACACTCTTTGCTATCAGTGTTACCACGGATTGCGAGGCACTGATTGAGCGCTGAATCTCTCTCTCTCTCTCTCTCTCTCTCTCTCTCTCTATCCTGAATGTTGTTATACTCGGGACATACACTTCACTCACGCCTTAAACACCACAACCCTTTTGACGCCTTTTAATTCCGATGTCTCTCGCAGTTTGTGTGTGTTTTAAGTGAACTTCCAGTTCGTGTCTGGCATTGAAGCGAATTTATGAATCTTTAGAGATATCATTACAGAGCGAAAACTTTTTGTGCACTTTTCACTCGAGATTTTGCACACAAAAAAACTTACAAATTGTAACAAATAGAGCGTTCAATGCTAGAAGACTTAACTTAATTCAATACAACTGTGAACTAAGATATTATAGAGACTTAGAAAATGAGGACTAAATCATTGCATTTGGTAGTAGAGAAAGTTTTTCGGATATTTTTTGTGCACTTTTTATGTTTGAGTTTAATGACGACAAAATCAAAAAGAATCAGTGAATCAGTCCTTCAATTATGTTGTCGTTTCGCAGGGCTTAAGAGAAATGTCTTCAGAATTGAAATCTCTTTACCCCCTCTTCCCTATCGCTTATACACCCAAACACATCACGGCATCGCTTCTCCACTCATAAGATGCGATCAAATAGTGAGAGCGAGAAATGTCTGACGATTTGATTAATACCTAACATTAATGCCTAACAATAATAGAGTGAATGCTTTTTAAGACCGATACTGACGGCGCGTTTGTATCGCCAAAACTTAATGACAACTCTTTAACCACAGAAAAAAACATTTTATTTTATGTCACATTAGTTGCGAGAGATATGTAATTAATAATTATTTATTTGTTCCCCAAATCTCATAGGGTATGGCAACCGGCCGCGGACTTCCGAGGGCAAACTGGCCACCATAGCCTACGCCGTAATAGGCATTCCCCTGATGTTACTGTTTCTGTCAAACGTGGGCCAACTGTTTGCCAAAGCCTTGAAGTTGCTGTACGGCTACTGTTGTAATTGCTCAGGCACGGACCCTGGTCAGGACCTCCAGGGCCTGCACGCCCACCACCACCTCCACGACCACTATCACGTCCATCACATCGCCCTCAACGACGTCTCGTCCAGCGGACACCTCATCCACTGCAACAGCAACGCCGACCCCTACCGGACCGCGAAGTGCTACTCCGCCTGCAACTCAAACTCTCAAAGAGATCAGTACGGCGTTGGGGGCGGACTCGAGGCCGAGACGAAAATCTGCTCCGATATGGCCGACCATCACAGCTGCGCCGGCACTCTAAACCGGGCCCACTCGCACTCACATCACTCCATACTGCGAGGGGCGCCCACCGCCGACACGGCCGACCTCATGGTTGGCAATAGTATAGACGCACCCCATCATCATCACGAGCCGCGTGAGGAGCCCCAGGATGTGACCGTTCCTATCATATTATGTGTTATACTCATCGGGGGCTACGTCCTAATGGGCGCCGCCCTGTTCTACGTGTGGGAGGGCTTCACTATACTCGACGGCTCCTACATTGCGTTCTGTTTGCTCAGGTATGCCCCTCACGGCAGACATCAATATACCCATTATTTTGAGTTGATTTGAGTTTAAGGGAAAAAAGCGAAATCTAAATATTATGATCGATAAGAAATTGAGTGAAAAAGAGATGATTTAGCGGTGAATGGCGAGGAAATCGCATAAACATAATCCAAGTTATGTTATGTTTTGTGTGTTGTGTCTGCAGTCTTACAGTTAGAGTACACGCACACAGCAATCACTCCAACATTTTTATATATCATATAATATAATAATATTATTAGATTTGTTGCTCTTTTCTTAGACCCCAAATAAGGGCTTCTCTGTACTGAAACAAAATTATTTTTGATCTCTTCGTTGAGTACATTATACTCGAGGAGATCGAGAGAGAGAGAGAGAGAGAGAGAGAGAGAGAGAGAGAGAGAGAGAGAGAGAGAGAGANGAGAGAGAGAGAGAGAGAGAGAGAGAGAGAGAGAGAGAGAGAGAGAGAGAGAGTTTTGCTATTTTTTGTGCTTTTCATTGATTTCCTTATTATTATTATTATTATTTTTCAATTTCTCTAATGTTTTATTGCAATCCATTGACAGAATATTCTTTAAAAACTCTATTTGCCTCCCGTTTAGTACCATTGGTTTCGGCGACTTAATGCCCAGCCATTCCGTATTAAGTGGTAGAGACGGCTCACAAAAGAAGCTCATTATAACGAGCGCCTACATCATAGGAGGAATGGCATTAATAGCTATGAGCTTTAATTTAGGTAAATTTAGGTATTTCTATTCACCCCTGCACTTACCACCGACCATACAGTCCCCCTTTTTCCTATGACACGATTGCAATAGCAATGAATGGTAACATAAATTTGCACTTCAGTTCACGAACAGGTTTTACATAAAATGAAAAAATGTGGCAAAAAGTTGGGAATATATTCCGACGAACCGGAGATTGATTTGTCTACTCATGAACCGCACGACGAAGACTTCGACGTCTAATGTGTGGCTCATCTCTGATGAGAGAGAGACTGGATGTTGGCAGCAAACCCCTGGTATATCTCAATGCCAGTGGTGTGTGTGTTGTTGGCTGTACTGCCGGTGCCAGCACTCGGAATATCAATAATGAAAATTAATATAACGGCATCTCGTTATCAATAGATCACAATTAAACTGAGGCTCAACTCATGTAATGTTTGACTCTTAAAACAAATTATGATATATTGTATAAAATCGGTCTCGGAATATCAATAATGAAAATTAATATAACGGCATCTCGTTATCAATAGATCACAATTAAACTGAGGCTCAACTCATGTAATGTTTGACTCTTAAAACAAATTATGATATATTGTATAAAATCGGTTTTAAGATCAGCTCATATCATGATATAAATTTCATATTAAATCATTATTTCACAAATAATAGACTATTCCTATTAAATGTTTTTTATTAACAAATTTATTAAAAATGTTTTTTTGAAGTGAATTATTTAATAAAATAAAAAGATTTTTAAAACAATAAATGTTTGCATTTATTACTTTGTTTAATCTGAATATCGATTGACAAATGCATGATTCAAAGCATTCAAATAGACAAATATTATATTTTAATTAAAATTAATGTTTGATTAATACGTAAATATTAATCATATGACTTTATTGATAATATACTGTAATTTACATTAATGTAATTCATAATACTTAGCGTAGATATTACAGATTTTAAAAATCAATAGTTTGACTGAATTTATTTGGAAACCAGTAATATGGACATAAATATAATACAGTAGTTTCAAAAAACATTAAATTAAATTTACGGCCAAATTGTAGACTCACAAAATATTGAACAGAATATCATTTATAATGAGAATTAGATTTGCTTTAAATCTGAGCCTAAGAGCACAGAATCAGTGCTGAGTTTTAGTGAATGTAAAACATTTTCTCAGTAATAATCTCTTATATGAGCCAAACATATACTGTATATGAATTGCACCACAAATGTATCGCTTAACTGAACCGCTGTTTCATCGGAAAATAGATTACATTTGAATTTGTTTTGAATATAATATTTTTCTAACGAATTCATTGTCAACAATGTAAACCTCTACATTACCCTAAACTAAGCATGCCTAAACCTGCTGTTACGTTTCACTTACTGTTTAACATTTGGTTAATGAGCAACAAAACTTAGTGTTTACGTGAAGAGCAGGCAGGTATGTCACTACACTATATATCACTGGAGTTCACATGAATTGAGTGCAGAGTTTGAGTCCATAAATAAAATTTATTCAAATCTAGAGTTAAAACCACTTTAAATACAATTTCATACAAATTGTATACAAATGAAACGAAAATAAAATTCTCGACAAATATGTTCTGTATTTTTGTATTATATTTGCAGATTAATGGGATAAATAAAATGAATAGGAAAATAAAATTTTTGAATTAATATAAATATTTGAAAATGGGTTATAGTAAAAAAATTGTATTTCAAAATATAAACACAAAACTCGAAACTTTAAATATAATTATAAAAACATTGAAATGACAACAATTGACGTGAAGTGTTGTCAACGAATAACTCGAGTCTTTAGAAGTGAAAAGATTTCACTCCGTTTGTAAACTTTTATGTAAGGCTATATATAAACACTATAATAAAGTTTTCAACAGTATAAAAGATAAAAAGTTAAAATGCGGTTGAAATTGTTTTACTACTCTGAATCTAATGTTTCACTTTTTTTCGGGTCAAACATTTATTTAAGGGATGGAGAAGTCATTCCCAATGTCTTTGCATTTATATCAATCGATTTTTGTAGAAACTTTCTGTAAACACTATAAAGTAAACTCAGATTTAGTAAATTGGAAATTTATAATTGGTATTTTCATTAATGGAAATCTATAATCGATATAAATATTTATAGATTATCAAGAATTTTAATCGAAAATTATACTACCTAATCAAAATTGAACTAGGGCCACATTATACTCTATTATGTGCTGTATTTTAATCAATAATAACAAGAATTGGATATTTTATCTTAATTTATACAGTCAGTGAATATACAGTAATATACTGTACTATATGGAGAACAAACCTCTTTAATAATATATTAATATATTTGAATATTTATGCAAATTGCGAATGAAATTCAAATCAAAATCTTACGAAAAGTGGCATAAAATTAATTATTTGCTAAACAAATAATACTCTCCTTAAAGAATAAAAGATTTGAATTGAAAAATAAATTATTCACATCTTATGGAAGTCAATACGATATGATATTTGATATATAAAAGTCTGCAAAACTAAAAGAATAATTGTTTTTGATTTAAAATGATTATGCCATAAGTTATTTAACGTAATAAAAGATTTATGAGTAAATAAAAGTTAAAATAGCGTTCAAATGTTCAAATGTTTTATTTCTGCCCGAAAATTATGACTTTTTGGACGTGACTTTGGTTTTAATGAACGGCTTTAACGGCAGGGAAACGAAAAGTTTAATTTTATTCAATAATTTATGACATCATTACTGATTGTAGTCTTAAGAGCGAAAAACACAATCAATAAAATTAATTCACAAAATATATTATATTACTATTACTATTGTATATGTGATCATCAATTAATACACAACAAAATCGCAATGTATTTGTTTGCATGCAATGAATGAATAGGAGTTTATAAGTTTACAAAATATAATGAGATAATCCGGGCGCTCCCGAAAATATATTCATTTAATATTACTTAAACTGAATGTCATATACAAGTAGTGTTGTTCAGGCAATGGGTTCAACACTATTGCCTATAAATCATTAAACGGAACTCAAGACTATTTATTTGAAGAGAACATTATTAATGGATTATATCCTATGTTTCCAAAGGATTTGCAAAAACTCATAGCGAAAAGCGTTTTCTCCCAAAGAATTGATCGCAAATGGAAATTAATAATAATATTTAGTTGAATGAAAATCAAGGATTTTTTTCTTGATAGAGATTTTTACTCTCATATACTCTCACATATTCTCATCAAATGGGAAAAGCAAACAACGAGAAAACATCAAAACATTTCTTATTGTTATTAAAGTTAATAAAGTTTTAGTTTTATTCCGATCGCCGGATAAATATCATGCCATTCAGTCTCTCTCTCTCTCTCTCTCTCTCTCCCTCTCTCCCCGTAAGCCCTGTGTCTAACTGTCAGGCAATAAGTTTCGTTCAAATACCTCATTAACTCTATAGACTGACTAATGCACTCACTCTGTATGGCCTGACATCGAAATAAGTTTTAGTGATTTTCTCCGTATATTTCTTGCGACAAAAGCAAGACACAAAAAAAACTAGTATATAATACAAGTATAAGTTATATACAAAGAAATATCAGGTGTTTCCACAATGGCTTACACTCTAATGATATCATGTTTAACGAGACATAAGTTTTTTCTTTTTTATTATTTTGAGAGCCACCGCAACAAAACTTGTTATCAATTGTTTGCTTTTCTTTACCACAAATTCAAACAAATCAATGATTTATAATTAATATTACGAGTCCTGTGTGTGTGTATGTGTGTGTTGGTACAGTTGAGCCACACATACACACACAACCTAAGCAATTATTTCATTAATTGTGCACGTTTGGTAATAAAATTACTTACATTTTATTACATTTATGCCTTTTCTCAATATTTAATTGAAATGTCAAAACATGGGGCATACAGCGCCAAGGAATGGTATGTTTTATTTAATAAAAGAAATTAAGATATACTGGCATTCAATGATTGAATTGAAATGTGAAATACATCTGTGATTAGCCCCAGGAGAGAGTGAGTGTACGTATGTATGGAGCGAAACATATGAACAATAAATGATATAAAATGTGGTGTTTTTAGTGCTAAAAGACACACAAAATATCTTCTAATCCCCTCATCTGTAGTATTGCTTCCCATATATACTGTGCGGAGTCTTATCGCCATCTTTTCAAATGTCAATGACATCCACAGAATTGTAAGCTTTAAAAGAATATATCAAAGAATTTATTATAAAAGTTCGTCAGAAAAAGTTTTTTCCTTTGAATATCATTGCCTTAAAGGCTAAGAATGTGGAGTAAAAAGAGAGAGAAAACTCAAATCAAATAAGAGTTTTATATAAAAATAGCTGATTTGCAAAGAAATAATTTTATTGGTCGACAATAACTCCATTTCATATCAATATAATGTATTGAACTTAAAAATGCTATTAAATATATTGATATCAATATCTGTCACGGCAGTTAAGTCTAAATATTTGAATAATGGTCACTTAAAATTGGCTCAATAAATAGTAAATAGTGGATTTATTAGCAAATAAATATATCTTTAGATATCATTTTCATATTTAAATTAACAAGCTTAAAAATATAAATTAAATATAAATGTATCAAAGAATTACATACAGTTTGACTCCTTTTTTATAACAGAATATTAAAATAAAATTGTATAAAATTAGCAAAACAATAAAAAGTTGAAAACCATTGCGAAAAATATATAATGCGAATAAAAATTGTTTTATTTTGTGCAACATTGCCTTAATAGAGAAAAATAAAAACAATTTTGAAATAAATATGCGCTTATGGCCGGACTTATTGCTTATTTTACTTATTTATCCCCAAAAGCAAAAACGGGTATATTTTATGTTTTCAAATAAATGGGAAAATAATAATTTATTCCAAAGATTTAAGCAATTGATTCAATCCTTTATATCGAATTTACATTAACTTTGACACAAAATAGCATTATTTTCCGTAAAAATCCTTTTGCCACACATTTCGCTACGAAAGTTATATATAAGTTATAATATATTTTTAGGTATATATTGTATATTTAGAGTTATATTTTGTACGAAATGAGAGAAATTTATTTTCTCATAAATTGTGTCATAAACACTACTTCGCAAATAAGTCATAAGTAAAATATTTACCAAATGTTGGACTCATTTTTGTGAATTCTAAAAATAAATTTCATTTCTCGTTTTATCGGTAGGATTAATGTCGAAAAAGTCACCAGGATATACCATTCAATAGTTAACATTAATTCTCAATTTGTTACCAAAATAATATAACCGTCCAATTATAACATCAATTTCTAAATACTAATCACTAATAAACTTATGCATGTTAATAAAAATATTTTGTGTTTTCATATAAAA